GAGGTGTGGAGGGCTATTAATTTGTTCAGGGATTGAGGGAGAAAGTATTCCTACAGATTTGCAGTACTTAAATACCACACTACGTATATCTATATCGTGGGCGTGGCTGGTGACCGCTTAGTCCAAAAGGACCAAGTAGACACATGCCGTAGACAGACTCAGTAGACCGTTTGAGACTGACCTTTGGCAGAAACACCAGCCCCATGAGAGTGCCTGACACTGTTCCCTCAAGCAAAATCACATGTTTCAAGCTACTTGATGACTAAGGGCGGCGAGAACTTTGAGACCTCAGCCCTAAAACAATTACCATCCTTAGGTGGTTCTCTACTTTGTTCGACAAACTTGGATTGGCCAGGAGCTTGCTCTTAGAGCCATTGACCAGTGAACCTGATGAAAGAATGTAATTCAATTTTGTGTGTTTCTTTATTTCTTTTTTGGTATGGAATGGCACCCAGACCTTGGGGCCCCAAAAACGACCACAAACCCCAACGATCAGCTCACACAGCAGATCCGCATCCAGGGCTCCTCCGTCTGGTGCAGCGTTGGTCCCTGACAAGGTGGTGGAGAAGTTCTGGAGTCTTTGCGGTGAGTCCTATCAGTCTCTCCCAGGTACATCGAAGTCCTGTCCATTGCACGCCCCTTAAGCTAAAAACCATTGGACACTCCTTAGAAATCTAAGTGTTTGACAAGTGCTTTTGAGGGATCCTCGTATAGAATCACAACTTTTTAAGGGATACTTGTGAATGGACAGGATTTGGGATTCGGGTCGCTGGAGACGTCAGCCGCCTGCGTTTCAATCCGTGTCATTCCGTGTCGGTGGTCAAAACCCGAGGAAACCAAGGGGTGCTCATTGGTCACCTCTTAAGCCTAAGGAGTGTCCAATGGACATACCTTAAGAAAACCCAATGTAAGCCCATACCGTGTCATTCCGAGTCATTCCGTGTCGCCCGATCTCGGATTTCGTGGTTCTACCTTGTCCTCTTACATCGGGATTTTTTTCGCGTTGTTCTCTTAAATCGGAATTGTTACTTAGGTTCTCTTACATCGGGAATGTGTTACTGAAAGGGGTGCTCATTTGACGCTCCTTACAGAAGGGTGAACATCAAAGTCATTGGACGCCCTTTTGAATCGTTTGGTCCATGGAGCATGTAGCATGGAGCATGTAGTCTGGTCTTTGAAGCATGGAGCATGTCATGTTATCTCGTCTCTCCATGTTGGTCACATCCATCTCTTGTCTCCATGTCAGTGAATTCCATGCCGTGAGTCGGTCTTTGCACATAAATGAGAAAAACACGTCCACTTCGGTTTTAGTCCGTCCGCGGAACAACATATGCAAACAACAAACATAAACAACCGCTCGCCAATCCCAGACACCATGGGACTGGCAGATTTACCGATCAGTTGGGGTGGTTAAACATATGTAAATTTACATTGGCTTTGTCCGAACTTGCCTGTAACAGTCAGTCAACAATTGAGATGTCGGCCTGCAACCTGGCCCCGTCATCATTCACTGAAACCTGGTAAATAGGATAGACCCCCAAAGATGCCAGTCACCACGGAGTCAGCCGGGTCCCAGCTGTGTGCTGGACCTCCGATGATTTCGGTGCGGTGTTCGGTCGTGGTCTGGTGTTCGGTCTTCGCCTTCTCCAGAGCAATTGGTGACCCTCGTTTTGTTGTGCTCCATGAGTTTGGAGAAAACTACTTATTATATCATAGTATTGTATATATCTATTATTGCCAACTTTCCCCTTGGACCTCCGTGCTGTGTCCGTGGACTCCTCCTTCCTCCGTTGACTCTCGTTTTTCTACTTCGCGGCGCTGTGAGGATCGAAGTGGACTCGGACAAGTCGGGACTCATCAGTTTTGGCGAGTTCTGTGCTTGGTACATGAGCCTCGGACACGGAACCTGCGCATGTTGCGTGGGAGGGTGGAAAGGTTGCGGCAACCCATGGCAACTCGAGCAGTGGGTTGGCCGGTTGGGTTTGGCGCTGAACGTCAGCTGTTGGGTCTCAAGCTCCAAAGTGATTTCTTTCGCATCCTTTTTGTGTGAGCCTTCACAGGCCTATATAGCAGCCGGCTAGTCCAAAGAGTCCCTTCAACCACGTCGGACGTGGTCATGTTGAAGAACCCGGAGAATGTACGTGCATACAGCATACATGCACAGACAGACCATGACAGACCAACAGATTAGACATTAGACAGGCAGCATTTGCCTTGAAGGGGCCTACTTGGGCCTACCATACATTGAGCAGTGTTGCTGTTCGGCTGGTGTTCTTCTCAAGGACCTTCCTCTTCGGCGGGAAATCACCCATGGAGCAGCGCCTTGGCCATGGAGCGAAGACTGCCAAGCCGAAAGCAGAGAAAGGTCTCCCTCCCGACAACTGCTGCGGTGCAGTTTCCTCGTCCGGATTTGGGTTTCAGAAGCTCATTAATTGTATTTTCATTTGCTCGAAACCCACGGGACGAGGGTCACACGAAGACTGTTTCTTTATCCGTGCCGCCCGTGAACCGAATGCGAGGTTCCACGCCCATGGAACCAGGGAGTTGGGGTATTTGGGGGTCTATAGGCATGGTATGGCATGGTCATTCCTGAAAAGGAGTTCTGGTGGACTTTGCCAGAAAACTTGCGGTGGATGTGTTCACGCGGGCTGGAACGGATTGCTTCGTCCCATGAGCTGATCAACCAAGCTTGTGAGGTGAAATTTTGTCACAAACTCGTTCACGAGCAAGTACACTCTGGCTCACTAACATGGAAGTGGAAAATGGCCTCTTGGAAGACTACTTTCCTCTACAAACAGTTGGTTTTCCACGTCCATGTGATGTGTTCGTCGGAGTGTCGTTGACTTGTAGTCGACTGTTAAGACTGTTAACAGGCGAAGGCTTGTTCTGCTCCGACTCTTCAGGCTCTCCCTACTGGCTGGGGCACGGCTCAGCAACAGCGCCAGCAAAATCCAACGATGATAATTAGGTTCTTAAAAGTGTTCTTATACAGCATATGATGGCTGGATGGGGCTGGTTAAAGCTTGAGAAAGTAAGAAGGTGACTGGAGCAAATACATCCAATGCCCCACCCAAGACTCAATAAACAGGACGCCATAAGACCGAAGCATTGTAGATTCTTTTTGCATGAGCTTGGCATTTGTGGCACCAAGCATGGTATTACCTGCGTTGTTCCTCACCCCTTTCTGAGCACTTGAGTTGATGGGTCTAAAGTCCAATAATCCTGGGAATGCTGAGAGCATGCACAGGCATGAGTCAGGTTCTTAATGTGACATCCAAAGAGTCTTTCATGATAAACTTCTTCATGTTTGGGATCCAGATCACAGATCTTTTCCAAATAAATCGCAATCAATCAGCACACTCATAGACTCATATATAGATGTCCTCGATGGTCCTCCAGTTTTCAGGTACTATGCAGCCTTCAGCTCAAGGAGTTCGCTTCACAACACCTTGGGTCGAGATGAAGCCAGGCCAAGGCTTGAATCCAACTCATGAGGTCCAGGTACCTTCCGTCAGCCTACCCAGGAAGTACGTGGATCACCGGATCACCAGTCACGAACTTCGCTGGGGGAAGGAGTGGACGTCAACATGCGTCGTCAACATGCGTCAACAGTTAACAGATGGAAAGTATGTGAACATATTGTTAACCCCAGGGAAACTCACTGTTCTTTTTTTTAATAGTGAGTTACTCACTGTTTCAAAGCACTCACTGTTTTTTTCAAGGAAAACGGTGAGTGCTTTGAAAGATTTCGAGAAGCCTTTTGCGAGGCCATGACCGGCTCCAGTTTGTTTGCTTAGTTGTTCCATTTTGTTTATTGCCTAGCATCGGTGAATTCAAACGAACCACTTCTTCTCTTGAGGAGTCTTTTTTCTTCTTCGGGGGGCTCCACGCGCTGGATGGTTTTGTCAACCCCTCAGGATGGTCATGGACCCATGTGGGAATTAGCTGTGGGTCACACGCAGTGAACATTGATGAACCGGGTCGAAGACCCCATGCAGCCAAGTTGTTTCGAAGAGTCCCTCGTTTGGGATGTGTTTACCATGTCAGTGTGGCCCAATGAAATCGACGCCCTGAGAGACGTGGCGGGGCGACGCCCTAAAGGTCACACTGAGTGGGAAGCATTTGGGAAAATCCGTCGGCCTAGACCTTCCAAGGCCATGAACACACGAGCCACATGAGCAAGATTATTTGGTTGACTTAGTGAATATTAGTTGGTTGACTTCAGCATAGTTCGTTTCTATGCCAAACATAGTTGGTTGACTTATTAGGACGTGATCCACTTGCACATCCTGCCACTTCTCAGAGACAAACCTCTCGACCAAAGGGCCACGGCTTCTCGAAGCCTGGCCGCGGCTGAAAACGGGCAAACGCCGACCAAGCCGTGTCGAATCCCACCGCTTTGAGTGGAAGAAAGGGACGCGGCAAATCCTTATTTGAGAAGGAAATGGTCCGGCTAAGGAGGATATGGCTATGACATCCTACGACTTGAAATGGTGACATGATATGAACTTCCCCCTAAATCTTTCCTACTTGAACTGATGTTTCTTGGCTTTTGTGAATCTGGCATTGCACAGGTGCTCGCAAAGTGTTCATGTTGGACATTTAGGAGAACCACTTCTTTCAGAGAGGGCCCTCGTCCCAGTTTTGTTCACCTCGTGTACTCCTTTTTAACTCACTCCATTTATTGTGCTATTTTTTGGGGTTGTCCTGTTATTTGTAACAGTCAGTGAACAATCATCACTATTTTAGAGAAAGGCCTTCAGTAATCATCATTATCCACCAGCAATCCCAAGACAAGACCAGTTTTTCCTTCCCCACATTCCTGCCTTGCTATGATTATGACCTTTTTCCAAAAGTTCAGGCTTGCAAAGAGACACCTTTGTGGGTCATTCATGACTCATGATCACCCAGTGCTGAGTGCGACTTAATCAGGCTCTCAGAAAGGACCTTCCCAGTGCCTCACCAGCACCTCACCAGCACCCCCAGCGCCTCACGACCAGGCCTGATGGCATCGTCATCTCGAGCTCATCCTGTTGCGCCACTTGTTTGGGAGTCTGGAGCCATCACGAGGATTCTTTGGGATGTTGCTGCTGATCTTTCTTCGCGCGCGCCAACACGGAGGTCGTGGAACATTGGGACGCCACCCTGTATTGTGTTTATATATATATATATATCCTTGTGTGTGTGTCTAATTGAGATGCACGCATGAGCCCTTTTTGAGGACCAGTTTGATCTTAGAACAAACAATGCCCAGACAGCTAGCAAACATGTCCCATGCAACTTGAAACCACCCTTTGACATGGGAAACACCCTGCGTTGCAGTGGAAGACCATACGTTCATATAACGATCTTGAGCACCCCAACCTCACGTTGGGCTGGGATTTAGACAAGAAACCATGGCTTTGTCAATTAACTCCCAAAAGATGTTTGATCACCTTTTCCTGCAGCAGCAGCCAAATACCATCCATCAACAAATCTACCAAACAGGCTGGAAGACTCATGTGTCCTTTGTAAAGTGTTTTTGTTGCTCCACGGCACCTCCGCTCAGCTTCACCATCTCACTCCTTTTTGCGACTATAGTACGAGCAAACCCTATAGGGATCCAATCACCTTCTCAGAAGGTGCTCGGACCCTCCAAACCTACACAACAGTGTCTCGAATCACCTGAGAAGGTCCAACTGGATCCCTAGAGAAAGATCCATCTCTCAGCCATGCGGCTCAATGGTACTTTCTCAGGGCCCCATGGGCGGCCCAATGGGGCTCCCCCCCGGCCGGGATCCAGGACCCGACCCGGTTTGGGACCCGGACTCGAGACGCGTCGACGCTTGCGGCGGCGGAACGCGTCGAGGTGCTTCGACACTTGCGCCTTTGTGCCGAGCCCGGGCTCCTGAGGTCACCGGGCGGGTCCCCCACGGGTCCTCACGGGGCGGCAAAACGAGCGCACCTGCAGTCAGATGGAGGTTATTAGGTGCTATCCATGGAGGTAGTCGCACATCCACTCACTGGATGGAACTAAAGACCACCCCGTCTTGTGACTGCCGGCATGCTTGTTTGTTTTCACTCTGATATGGCTCCGGGTCATGGTACGAGCGAACTTTATCCGAAGTGGACCACGGCTGAAGAGGCTTCGACCCACGCAACAGCCAGATGATTTGCCGATCAACTTTCGTTAGTTCTCCCCTATCTCAGTGCAGCTTCAGGGGCTGACTTGCCAGGGTTTGCTCGGCTTTCCGGGGCTTGGGCGCTCGAACACCGTGATTCATTTTGGACCGTCAAGATTCAATTCTGCTGGGTGATCATTAAGATGAGGATTTGAAGCGTTTATAGTAGAACAATGTAGAACATGCCCAGCATTGCATGAAGAGTTTAATGCCTTTAGCCTTTGCAGGCGGAGCAGGCTATAGGCTGTAGCCTGGCGCCGGTCTAGTCGGTACAGCGGTGATTCACTCCGTTTCACACGGCATATCATTTCTGCCATAAATAGCAATAAGCTGAATTTGTGCCAAAGCAGCCATTCGGACCTCCTCGTGGTGCGCTTTAATTTTCCCATACACTCCATGGGACTGGAATAGGACTGCCGCCCCAGAAAGACCCCCGACTTCCACCACCCCTGGCCGTTTCTCGGCAGTCCGACAGTCCCGTCGCGTCGTCACGTCTGGGACTGTTTCGGTCTCACCCTGGACTGGACCTTTCACCCTCTCATCTGGGAGCAAGGCTCGCCCCCTCAAAAACTCGGGACTTCTCGAGACCAAACCCCCTCTCCGCACCGCACCAACCCGGAATCACCCGTCTTCACCGTCCTCGAAGGCCCAAAGGCCACGCGATCGCGGCGGGGAGACTCGGGGGAGACTGGGAATCGGTGTTCGTCCACGGGTTTCTGAGCCCAAACTGCACGGAAGAATGCATGTCTACACTGGAATCATCATCAGGGCTCCAATGTAAGTGCCTCCCCGGGTTCGGTATGACTCGACCCTCTAAACCTGACCATTTTCCTCTTCCAACTGGTGGCCACTTCCATGCTTACTTAGTTTCAGGATGTTTCAGGGCTTTTGTATGCTTTGGTATTTTGCTTCTGTGCTTCCACTGCTTCGTAGGAGCGACATCGCTGGAGCCGTTGCTTCTTTGCAGATCTTCCCCCCAAACCATGAGAGTGGCGAGGTCTCGTTGCGATCTTCCCCGCCCGGCGCAGCACGCTCCGGTCGACTTCCGGTTCCCCACGGGGCCCGACTTCCACGGCTCGACGACCAATGGAGATACCATCCTTGGTGAAGGTGAGGGCTATAGCTGTCATCATATTGACGAAAACGAGTTCACGGCTTTCCTCAACCCACCTGCAAAGAAGAAAGCCCGGTGGACATCGTCTCATAAAGTTGTTTAGGTAAATTAGTTGATTTGTTCACCTTTTGCATGGTTCTCCCATGCGCAAAGGAGGCAACAGATGGCCAATGCTGGCCAGGTTTGCTTCTTTTTTTGCTTCGCGCAGAGAACGCAGCCTTCGACTCAGCTGAGGTGCGCTCAGCTAGCCCTTTGATCGAAGACTGCGACGTCGTGTGGATGCCCATCGATGGGAGCGGCGGAGCTCGGTGGCTCGCGGCTTTCCAGTTAGATCGACCCCACGAGAGATGAGTCAAGTGTAGCTTTTAGAGCCGCACCTCAAGGACTCAATTGCATTCTGAATGCTGTTGGGCCTGAGGGAGAGAGAACAAGCATGGATGATTGATACGGGCTTTGGCTCAGTCTTGCCAGAAGGGACATCAGTTGAAAGTTCGCCCTTGGCAATCTTGCCATTTTACACTTTTAAAAAACAGGATGGCCATGGTCAGTAATACCTTGCAATATCTTGCAATATTTTCCGGGATGCACGTGCCCACAGTTTTTCGAGCAACTGAGAAGGGACCTGGAAAAAAACAAGCAAACTATATATTATATATATATATAGATTTATAAACTAACTATAAACAACTATAAAGATTAAGTAAATAACGGTATTCTTGACCGGTATGGAGTTCAGGCTCTTCTTTTGGATCCAGGAGCCCAACCTGAGGTCCATTGTTTTTGAGTCGTAGATGTCCTGTTTCTATACATTTGTATATACTCTCCCTAGGGATATACCTTCTCAGAAGGTACTTGGACCCTCCAAACCTATATGACAGTGTCTCCAATCACCGAACCTGAGAAGGTACGCATGGATCCCTAGGGTCTACTCTATAGTGCTGTTCCGATCCGACCTTCTCGCATTGACCCGGATGGACGAGCTGAAAGGCTGAAATTTTCTAGGCTAGATGACGAAAGAACTGTTCTCTCATTCCCAACTGAGCCTATGTTGCCCTCGTCATCCTTTTTCTATGACCAGAAAGTTGGCGATGCTAGCTTTCCAAGCTTCTTTTGTGTTGCCTACGATCCGGGCGAAAACGTGGCTTTGGGGGAGCGATCCACACGTCCGGTGCGCAGCCCTGAGGTGGGCGCTGCGGGCGAAGCAGCGCGTGGCGCCCGTGCCGGCGTGGATGCGCCTCGGTCGGTTCGTCCCAAAGGACCCGAAGGACTTGGAGCTCGGGTCACGGACCATCCTGGCGGGGCGTCTCCCTAGGGCTGGCCCACCTGATGGTTGGGGTCTGGTCTAACCACCTTCTCGAGAGATGGTTGGGGCCACGGGGTTTGTTCATGTTCTGTGGGCAACCAGCAGGGTGCCCGGTTTTGATACATTCCAGAATCAATCAATCCATCTCCCCATCGTAGAGTTCTTCTATGTTTTTTCTATAGGGAAAGCATCAAGCAAAGCTACAAGCAAAGTTCATGTCCAATACGCGGCCCAATCAGCGGTTTTCGGTTTTGCTGGACATGCCGGACATGCCCTATGCATGGATCAAAGCGTCCTGCGAGCCAGAATCGACTTCAAAGAAGACCTCACGCCAAGTGGCGATCAATTTGCAGTGACATGAACTCCCATCAAATGCACAGAACTCCCGCCAAGACTTATAGTGGGAATTCATGCACTTCAAGGTGTTACCAGTGGAGGTGGATGTCCCACTGAGAAGCTTCTTTCATGCTGGTCAGTTGAATAGATTGATCATCGGAGGCGTGGAATTCAACCAATTCGAAGACGCATCTCGAACGTCGCCAGTGGTTTGGAAGCCTGCCTACGATTGGAAGGTGATTTGGAGTAACCTTGAAGCGTTGGGGGAAGCTAGGCCACTCAGCTGGTGTGTTGGTTTCCCTTTTACTCACCAGAAGGTGGACTTGATTGAAGAGGATTGCGCCCAGGTGCGTGGCCATTCGCAGCCAGTACGAGAGCTCAGCCCAGATAGGCAGGTCATTGATGGTTGAAGAAATCTTCAGACGACTGTTACTCACGACTGTGTCTTCTGATGACTAGTAGCAAGAAGCTGCTAGGAGGAGGCCATCGCTTTTAGGTTGGAGGCCATTACTACTAGTAACAAGGACGCCATTAATTAGTAGCTCCCGGCCTTACTACTAGGAACAAGAAGCTACTTGGTGCACTGATCCATCTTCGTGTGGAAACCAGTCTTGTTGTTGGCTTTTGTCCAAGGATTTTACTGGGATCCCACCCTTGCGCTTCTGACGCTGGCATAGGAACAGGAAGGCATTGAAGCCACTCATGAAGCGATGCGAAGCGATGCAAAGCCTCAAACTGGCAGAGTCAGAGTCTCAACAAGTCATGCCTGTGGAGCCTTTTGATGCCTTTTCTCCACGTGGAGGTGAAGTCATAGGTGGTCAAGTCAACCTAACTTACCCCACCAGAAGTCCTCTAACTTGCCCATCTGGAGATGGGTGGGGATTAGTCACAGAACTGTAGGGGAAGTGACGGTCTCCAGGTAGATCAACGTTTCACGACCAAATGCCACGTGGCACCGTTGTCCATCCCGGGTCCTTCACCAAGGTCCTTCGTGGCTGTCGAATCTATGATCATTCAGGCGCTCGCTCGAGCCGATAAAAGAGTCGCATAATGAGATGCGACATGTCCCACAAGATGGGCTGCAGGCAGGCAGTTGGATGTTCTGGATAGGCCTGGATAGGCTGAAGTTGGACTTCGGCTGAGAGCTTGGCTGAGATCGAGCTTCCAGCTCCAGACTTGATCAGTATTTGACCTTCCAAGCCCGTTAAAATCTATGTATTGGATTGGGGAGCCTCATATTATGACCACCCCCCCACGGTCATTTCCAGGGCAACGCACAGAAGGAGGGCTCCAGGGGGGGCTCAATATTTCAGGTTTTGGCTTTCCCCTCTCTACATCTCCACCATTGCTAGGGTCAAATTGAGCTTTGGTCTTTGGAATCTCATCGCCCCAGGTTGATGGAGGCTATGTTGTACCTGGTTTGAATGACTTGTTTCCCTTCCCTACCTGGGAATGGTTATCTCAATTGATGAATGTATTTCATGAAAGAGAAGGACTGAACGCGGTTGAAGTCACCACGCAGTCTGGGACGCGAAACCGCTGGCCTTGGTGAAACCGCTGGCCTTTGTGCGGGCCTTCACAGGTGCAGGGGTTGCCTTCTCTCAGGCTGGTGGGATGGCACGAGGCCCCAGGTTGGAGGGGCTGGGCCAAACATGCCCAAGTGCCCAAGAGTCACTCTCTCAGGGATCAGGCGTTGATGTGGACCGCTTGGTGCAGTCTCTGGCTGCTTGATGTTGCCTAAAAGTCAGTGATCATGGGGGGGCGAGGGGCCTCCACTTTCTGCTGTGCTGGTGATTTCATGCATTTTGCTGCACAATAGGGGCCCAGGGGTGCGAACGCTGGAATGACAAGAGCCCTCGACCAAAGTGTAGACTTACATCTAACCTCCACCAAGCTGGCCTAGTAGCAAGCCTCCTTTGAAGATGATGGCCCTAAACCGAGGTGGTTGCAACACAGTCCGCCCCAAAAAGCCCCCCGAACGGCGATCAGGCACGATCGTCGACGTTCTCTCGACCCCTTCGACGTGTCGGAGGCGACGCCGGACTTCCGCAGCTCAGAGCTACAGAGTGAGAAACAAGCATGGACCCATAGCCAAGAAAGCCTTGATTAACACAAAAGAAACATGTGCATGTGTATATGTATATATTATTATATATAGTTGTTTTTTTCTTCGCCAGGAGTGGTGATTTCATGAGTGAGATCGTCACCTTCTCAAGCCTTGATATGAACTTGCTAGATAGGTGGGACATGCCTTTGATTGGCCCTGCTTTTTGGGGATATGGACCAAGAAATCTACTTTGATTATGCTTCATGAACTCCAAACCAGTTCGTAGACCAATGGTTCCCTAAGCTTCCAATTCACCAAGCTAGAGATCGGCTTTGAAGTTCCATGAAATAGTGTTGTGTTTGTTCAGCCTTCAGAGAAATCACATTCGCCCCTCATCTTCCACTGCCATGCTTGGCCCCTTTAGCCGCTGCCTTGCGCACATTGGGAAGGCACAGTCGGCCATGCAAGGTGACGATTTCAGGTCGTTACGGGGGGCTGTACAAGCTGTAGGCCCCGCTACCTCGACTTCTGTGTTGAATTTTGCTTCACGCATGACGCATGACATGACGTGGCATGAGATGTCCGTCGTTCAATTGAATCGAGAAGAACCAATTAGCAGCTAAGGGCATGCCATATAGGCATATGGCATAGCCGGCATATGAGGGCCGTCCGTTATTGCCAGTGAAGGAATTTCGATCAAATGTTAAAACACACATGTCGCGAAAGGGAAACTGCAGTCCGCGAAAGGCCGGCGATAGGACAGCGAAAGACATGTGCCAACCTAGACTTACATACAATGTGCATAATACATGACACATCCTTTTTCCCGAACAGAAACACGGATTTTCGCGAAAGGGCTGCGAAAGGCCGGCGGTAGGCCCGCGAAAGGGCGCATTGCCTGGAAGGTCATCTGCCCATCCATGGCCTTGAAATAAGCCTTGAAACATTTGTTTCAAGTATGAATTGACAAAGGGATTTAGCCTGCTTCTCAGCGCACTAACAGGTATTTAGATATCCCAAACACTGTGAACTCAGTGAAGCTCATCACAATGCGCGAAAGGAAAACCTGTGGTTTTTCTGCAAACGCGAAGGGTCGCGAAAGGCCGGCGATACAAGCTCAAAAAGAATAGCTTTGTTGGACAACTCCCATATGAGCCTTCCATCTCTCCTTTTCTGCATCACGCCGTTGGATTCCCCACACTCGACCGAGTCAAAACGACCCAACCAATCCCAGACGCGACCGGGATCGACCGGGACTGCCAGGTCGGACGGCCTTCGAAAGGGCCAGGGGGTGGTTTCGTGGTGCCAGGGGGGTCAATGTAGGCAAAAACCCTGGGAGTCAAAGACTATAAAAAGAATGATCTCTTTAGGTGCCCCGAAGAAAAGGAATTTCCTTTACTTCAGTCCGTCAACATATAGTCCTTGGACTTCTAGGGTATAGGCATAGATGGCAGTCCGGAGTGTTCTGGGGTTGGTGGATTGAATCGGACAGGGGACAGGGGACACGGCATTTTAAACGAGTGACGAGTGCGCCACTCCACAGCAAATGCACTCCAATCCACTACAACGAGTGCGCCTTACAACATGCATATGCTCCATATGCCGCGTACCTATATCGACCCCCCAGGCACCACCCCGGCTGATCGGCAGAGATGGCAGTCCCATCGAAAGGTCTGTGAAATGGATCCCAATGGCGCCCAACCTCACGGCGCCCAAACCACTGGTCACACGCTCCTTCCTCACGCGGCGCCCGTGCCCACTCCTCGCCCTGTGACTCATGTGGACCGCCCACGAGGTCTTGATCACGGTGCTGGGCTCCGTTGCGGTCTTCGTTGCTCTCAGCGTGAAGTGCCGCGACGCGACGCATCGACGCGCGCGTGACGTGAATTCAGGGAAATCGTTCCACTCGTAGATCGAGGACTTCGTGGAGTGTTCGGAACAAACAAAGAAGACATTGGTTGGTTGCCTTAGCCAAAGGCTTATCTGTCTCCTGGAGAGGGCGATGGAGAGACAGAGAGAGAGAGAGAGAGATTGATTGATTGATTGATTGGTTGGTGGCCAAAGGAAAAGACACGTGACCGGCTGATTCTGAGCTGACATCACAACTGGGACGATCCTCTTCGATTGGAGGGTTTTCGTGGTGAACTCACTTGCTGTCGAGACGGCTGCTTCCCACCTGCGAGGTGGTATCGTCGACGGGAAGACGATGCTGAAGAGGGCCAGCTTCAGCACAGGCGGGCTGAAGTGGGCGAAGCCTGAAGTGAGCGTGAAGGGCGGGTGAAGAGCATGCTACAAAGAAACGGGCGCCTTTTTGACACGGGCGCCATCCAGTCTGGAGTTCTCTAGGTCCACTGTTTAATTTTTGCGCCAGTGTCAAAGTCAAGCAACCTGATGCCATCACTGGAGCAGGATAATCAGGATCATCAGGGTCACCAGCAGCAATTCCGAAGAATTCCATTTGAACCTGGTTTACCCTAGGCTTCCAACCACCATTGAAGGCGGGTCATCCCGAATCAACTAAGGATTTTACACTATAGTTAACGCCAGGTCGTTCCCCTTTGTTTCCATGGTCGAACGGATGTGGTATTTACCTTCAACTACCCACTACGCGGTGTCTCGACTCGGTGGCTCGACTCGGTCGAGACCGAACGGGGCAGAAGAGGGTCGAACGGAAGTCGGGGCAGAAGGATCTGCCCAGACGCGAGCCTGGAGCCTCCTAAGTAGGGTTTTGAGGGACCAGGAGCTGTTTGGATCGTCTGGGTGGTCCATTTCAAGTCTCCGCGTCACCACGCGTCGCCGATTCGTGTCGACACGAGTCGTGGGTTCTCAGATCTCATGTCTACGACGAGTAGCGAACATTCAACAATGTTCACCGGCCAGCCCCAAGTGTGCAAAAATAAGCTATACCTAGGAACTCCTGGTGTTACCTTTTTACGTCGTTTCGTGAAACTCAGTAAATTTACGTCGTTTTCCAGAATTTACGTCGTTTGAGTTTTTTTTCGTCGTTTCGTTTGTTTGGTGGATTCCCATTCTGCACATAGTCGTTCACAGTGCTTTTAACTCTGCATAGGTTGGCAAATCCTGTAGACAGGAAACTGGACCAAGGGCAAAGGCAAACATTGCTCCAAAATCAAGTAAAGCACAGTGAAGAACCATAGACAATGTCCAGAATGACAACCTAGACTCTCTTATCCCAATCACCCTTGCCCCTGACCCTTTCGTTCTAAACTCCCGTAATGCCTCTTGAACAAGAGGCCTGCTTTCACTAGCCACCAGCTAAGCACTCGTTCAAAAGTCACACGTGTGTCCGATCTCCGAGAAAGCCGACTAAGTCGGCCCACAACATCTTCATTCATGCAGCAGTCGAAACATACCGGACTCAAGGAAATCCCACTGCCAGACTCAATCTGCAAACGCAGCTCGACGAGTGTGTGACACTGAAAATGCAGCTTTGGAATTAAGGCAAACAGACAGAGTCTGTTTGCCATGGCCTTGTGCGCTAGAGTGGAATACCCAACCACAAAAGCATGCCCAACCTCGTAAAGCCTCAATGCACAATCTGGCGCCAGGAACAGACCATGCTTGTAGACTATATCGAACCAAGCTATGCCGACGCGGGTTGTGGACAAAATGGTGTCCAACACAAATCTTTGGTCCTCACTCAAATTCTCTGAGTTCAAGAAACCTACTGCAATTGTAGCTATCCAGTCCATGATCAATGAAGTGTCTGAAGCCTTCGTGTTGCACCAGGGGTAGCTCGTTGAGCTCTTGTAGGAAAACAAACTTGGCGAGAAGCTCCTCAAGGAAGCAAATTTGTGCACAACTTGCAAGTAAACCTTGAAATGGCCGTAAGCCGTTGTCAATTTGTCATCTACCTTGCCACGACTGCCAAAAAAGCCATACCGCAAGAACTGGAAGATACAACTCGCAACAAAATGCCTGTGGATGCCCAGTTTCAGGTTGTGAAACTGGTCACACTTCAGAAAATATTCTGGCATGGATGCATCAAATGGGATCGCAGCCAGCAAGGGAGGTTCTTCAGGACGCCAAGGTCGTTCTGAGTAAAGGGTGTGTTCCCAAATAGGGTTTGCTGTGTAATCTTCAGCTGGAAGGTTTGCAACCCCTGCTTTACACAGGTGACACGAAGGAAGATCCCGCACACGGCCACGGCCTTCATATCCTCGGACCAAGCGACCTACTTTGGCATGCCACTTCAAGTCGCCTTTGGCAGCAACGCATGCAACCCTCCAATGCTCCGACCTGGCTTCAAAGCCTGCGCTGAACAAGCCGAGCAACTTCTCAGAAAAAATTGACAACAGCTTCTCTGTAATGACTTTTACTTTGTCTCCCAGCACACCTGGAACAACACAGAAAGGGAAATGTTGAACAAATGAAGGTCCCTTCAAGTTGGATCTGAGCGTTTTGGCCAGCTCATGTGCCTCTTCCGCCCCAGACAAGCAAACAGGTTCTCCACAAGATGGCGTGCATTTGTTGCACAAAGATGTATGCCCCTTCAGCCCCAAAATCGCTTCCATTGTAATGATTGTTGTATTCGATCTGCGCTTGCCAC